ATAGTACATGAATAATTAAATAAATTATTCATGTACTATAATTAAAGTGTCCAGTCATTCAGCAAATCTTCCCTATTTTAAGATGGGAAACATCCTGCTACACACCTCCCAACGTCCGATTAGAACCCACAGGCTAGGCCTCCTCCGGGTGCCGTCGACTGGACAATGCCGGCTGGCGACCACTCGGGGGAGAGCCTTTTCTGTAGCTGCTCCTGCTCTGTGGAACGAGTTACCAGCAGAGATCCGGATCTTTCCCACCCTCGTGGCCTTCCAAAAAGCCACCAAAACCTGGCTGTTCCGACAGGCCTGGGGTTGCTGATTTTTAAATCAGGTCCAACCCCCAGCTAAGCCAAATGTATGTTGTGTTTTTTTAAACTGTTTTTGTTTCTTTCCCCTATGTGTTATTTTATTTTATTTCGTATTTGTAAGCCACCCGGAGTCCTCCGGGATTGGGCGGCATATAAGCTCATTAAATTGCGAAATGTATCTATGCATGTATGTATGTATGTATCAGACATCCTTTTTAACTGGAAACAACGTTCATTTGTTGAAGAGATGCTGTTACACAGAAAAGAAAGGGAAATACGCACCTGACACACAAATATGTTTCTCTAAGCAAACAGCAAGATGCGGCTTTTTGGTTACTCTCTGCCTCTACACACCGAAGTGAAAATTTTTTGTTACTTCAGATTTCCAAATGGAGAGATGTTCAAATTATTAGTGATGGAAAGTTGAGATGGAAATAAGTCTTCCTGAAAAAGAACACCTAATACTTGAAGTTCTACCAGGTTTCTTGATTTCTAAATAATTTCTAAATAAATAAAAGAATCTTTACCAGAGGTGGGTTCATACTGATTCGGACTGGTTCGGCTGAACTGGTAGTGGTTTGCCGGCCTGGATCGCCGGAACTGGCAGCGACCCTGGCCTGCCATGCCTTCGAACCAGTTCACCGGTCGGGATGGCATGTTTTTTTCCCCATTTTAAAATGTTCTGCGCATGCGCAGAGCTATTTATGGGCAACTGTGCATGTGCATGGAGCAAAATTGTGCGTGCAAAATTGTGTACAAACAGAAATCAACATCTGAATGGCCTGCTCCAGACAATTTTACCTGTTTTCTACCAAAGTAAAAGCAAAAGTAGGTTATCTATTGCTACAGCTCTTTGGAGATTCCAAATTTTTCTGGTTGGATGATAAAAATCTGTTTTCCTTTTTTTGCCTCTTTCTCCAGTTTGTTGAGAATTCTGCTCCCATTTTTAAATAAAGGGGCCTCTCTCTGTCTTTCTCTGTCTCTGTCTCTGTCTGTCTGTGTCTGTTTCTCTCTCTGTGTGTCTTTCTCTTTTCTCTCTCTCTCTCTCCTTTCTGTCTTTCTCTCTGTCTTTCTCTCTGTCTTTCTCTTTCTCTCTCTCCTCTCGCTCTGTCTTTTTCTTTTTCTCTCTCTCTCCTTCTCTCTTTCTCTTTCTCCTTCTCTTTCTCTCTCTATCTCTCTCTCTTTCTCTCTCTCTGTCTCCCTCTGTCTCTCTGCTTCTCTTCCTATTTCTCTCGCATAATTTATACAAAGAAGAGCTCTTCCCTGTGATTTTCTATGGAGCATCTGAGCCTCTCTGGCACTACCTTATATTCATAACACGTTATTCATTTTCTTTCACACTATAAATTCAAAGTGGCTTGCAAAAAAAAACAAAACACCCTAACCAAACATAATGAATAAACAATGCAGATTATTCAGAACAGATGTTGCATTCATTTCAAGCGTTTCTAACCCATGTATTTCTCTGCGGGGGGTGGGTGGGGGGTGTTTACACAATAATAAATGCAGCGTGAGACAGTTTGGTGTTGTGGTTCAAGTCACCAGGCTAGAAATCAGGAGATGCCGAGTTCTAGTCCTGCCTTAGGCACAGAACCAGCCAGGTAAGTCACTGAGCCCGAGGGAGAAGGAAAGGCCAAATTTCTTTCAAAAACCTTACCAAGAAAACTGCAGGGACTTGTCCTGGCAATGACCAAGAATCAACAGTGATTTGAAGCCACTCATTCCACCTCCCAAGACAGAATAGAATAAAAAGTTAAATAAAAGCAGAGTGAAAAAGTTAGTTCACGTGAAAAACGGAGTGGCTTTTTTTTTTTTTTTTTTTTAAAGAAACACCTTAGTGTTTCCCCTACATATTTAAAAGAAAGATATTTGCAGCTTGGAACAGACCTGTAAAAAGGTGATTCTGCCTTGAGAAAGAGCTTTATTATTATTATTTATTAAATTTATATGCCGCCCAATCCTGAAGGACTCCAGGCGGCTTACAAAAGAAGAAAGAAAAGAAAGAAAAGGAAAATAAGAAAAGGATAGTTTAAAATTCACAAAACACGCATTCATTCTAATCGGGGCTGGACCTTGACAATAAGGACAACAGCCCCAGGCCTGCCGGAACAGCCAGGTTTTAACAGCTTTCCTGAAGGCCATGAGAGTGGGTAAGGTCTGGATCTCTGGGGGTAGCTGATTCCTTGGTATAGGGTCACCTGCTTGAGCAGGGGGGTTGCACTAGAACTGCAGCCCCCAACTGCTTCTACCAACAGAGGGGGAGGGGATGGTTCTGTGTGAGCGGCAGGCATGTCTGTGAGCAACCCCATTTGCACAAGCACAAGCCCTTGCCACTCATGCAAATGAAGCTAGCTGCACACGTGCGCACGCTCACCCACCGCTTGTATGGCCCAGTTCTGAATGGGCCACAGCACAGGGGTTGGGGACCCCTGAACTACAAGATTCACAAGATCCCTTCCAACTCTGCTATTCTGCATTCTGTATCCCACCTTCACATCTCACCCCTCCCCCAATCCTGGCACTCCTCCATTGGCTTTCTCTCTACCAGGTCTGCCTTGAGGAGTTTCTCTGGTTGGCGGTCAGAAGAGCAAGGTGAGGCTGCACCTGGCCTG